TATCTAGATTTTACACAGCCATAAAGATAAGCATAATAATAATTTGTGACATTTATATAGTGCTTTTTTGGGTACTTAAAGGGATACTCCACTTTTTTTGGAAATAGGCTCATTTTACAACTCCCCCAGAGTTAAACTGTTGAGTTTTACCGTTTTTGAATCCATACAGCCGATCTCCGGTTCTGGCGGTACCACTTTTAGCATAGCTTAGCATACATCACTGAAGTGGACAAGACCATTAGCATTTCTCAAAAAAAAATGACCAAAGAGTTTCGATATTTTTCCTATTTAAAACTTGACTCTTCTGTAGTTACATCGTGCACTAAGACCGACGGAAAATGTAAAGTTGCGATTTTCTAGGCTGATATGGCTAGGAACTATACTCTCATTCCTGCGTAATAATCAAGAAACTTCACTGCCGTACCATGAGTGCAGCAGGCGCAATGATATGACGCAGCGCCTGAAAATAGGCCACCTTCCGTCAACACAACGGAACTATTTTCAGGCGCTGCGTCATATCATTACGCCTGCTGCACTCATGGTACGGCAGTGAAGTTTCTTGATTATTACGCAGGAATGAGAGTATAGTTCCTAGCCATATCAGCCTAGAAAATCGCAACTTTACATTTTCCGTCGGTCTTAGTGCACGATGTAACTACAGAAGAGTCAAGTTTTAAATAGGAAAAATATCGAAACTCTTTGGTAAATTTTTTTTGAGAAATGCTAATGGTCTTGTCCACTTCAGTGATGTATGCTAAGCTATGCTAAAAGTGGTACCGCCAGAACCGGAGATCGGCTGAATGGATTCAAAAACGGTAAAACTCAACAGTTTAACTCTGGGGGAGTTGTAAAATGAGCCTATTTCCAAAAAAAGTGGAGTATCCCTTTAAAGCGCTTTATATATGGAAGGGGGGGGAATGTGCGCCAGTCATAGTGCGCCAGAACGCCCACCACACGCCAGCTTATTGGTGGAGAGGAGACCGAGTGATGAAGCAAATCAGTAGTATATATATATATATGGGAATGATTAGGAGGCCATGATGGTGGACAGAGGCCAATGAGCAAATTTGTCCAGGATGCCGAGGAGGTTACACCCCTACTCTTTTTCGAATCACATCCTGGGATTTTTTCTGACAACAGAGTCAGGGCCTCGGTTTAACGTCTCATCCGAAGGATTTTGATTTTGACAGTATAGTGTCTCCATCACTATACTGGGGCATTAGGACCCACATAGACCACAGGGTGATAGCTGCATAGGCTATATGCTCTGCAAAGCAAGCAACAAATTCATCATCTGTAACTCACAATTCTCTGTTTGTCATGTTGAATCACAGACAACGGAGGAAATCCTGCAAACATTAGCCACGGCTCGTGTTTCTCCTGGCTTTAAGAGGCAAACAGCGACATTCGTGGGCTCTTCTGGGGCTCCTATCCCAGACTCTCTTGACTGGAGAGAGAAGGGATATGTCTCCAGTGTGAAGAACCAGGTATTATACCGTACATTTTGAGAGAATACAATCTGATATTTGGTCATTTAGATTTGTGTCTACGTAGCTTTTTATTTGGTTGGACAGCTATTTTTGTTTCTTTTGATAGACAAGAGACAAAAGCAATTTTGAAAATGTCAAGTTTCACATTGAAGTATTTCCCATGAATCCAACCTAAAATGCAGCATTGAGTCGTCAACCTATTTCTTAGAGGTGGGAGAAAAAATCGATACAGCATAGTATCGCGATATTTTCTGTGGCAATACTGTATGATACACGGGCGCCAACTATCGATCTTTTATTATTTAAATTAGCTACACATGAGAATTTAACTTTGGTAGTAGAGTGCGTGTCTGCGTGAGTGTTCAGCGGTGTCGCGTCTTCTATCTCTCTTCTCTCAAAATGTGTTGTGCAAGGCAAGCATCAAGCGCTGCGGCGATAATACACACTCGCGTTTAGGAGTCGGGACATGACGGAATATTCACTTGCACAATCGGGCCAGCAGTGCATCTTGACTGAAGTTTACCATTTGCACGTCTTTTTAAGTCTTACCAGTTTAAACATTCAAGCGATTTTAAACTAATCAGTGCTCTGTTCGCGTGCTCTGAGATGATTTTCTATGCGCACATTCATGGAAAATCCGCCTCAAAAACAGCTGGCCAGTAACAAATGTTATTTTTCGCAGATTGTATTTCTTTAACACGCATAATTGTGTCAATTTCGGTCTTCGTGAGTATACTCTAAACATAGTCGGTTTGGTCTTTAATAAGCATAAAACGCATGTGACAGTATAATGAACACAGGATCCGTGCACTAGCTCTTAAAGTGACGTCAGCCATATGTGTCTGTCATTAATTTTGTTGTCAAAAAAACAACAAAAGATAGCTTTAAGTTAACGGAATCAGGATTAATAGCCTATGTATTTAATTTAGTCAGGACTAAAATACTACCCACTACCCAGTGTTACTATCTGGGTAGTATACAGTGTTGTACATTTGATTACATTATTCAGTTTCTGTATTTATGAATACTAGTGTTAGACCTATTCAAAAACTTTTCTCTTTATTTGTCATTATTTGTATCTTTATTCTATTGTATTTATTTGTGCTACTTTTTTCAATTTAATTAAACAATTTAAATCAAGCTTCCTTGTGTTGTGTAAATTCTTAACAATGTTACCCCCATTGTAAAAATTGCAATGAGCGCAAACATTTAGGCGATATAAATGTAATAATTTTGTTTGGAAAAAATGCAAAAATTGAAGTTGAAAAAAGGTAATAAATTGCAATATATTGCAGAATATCGCAATATGTTTAAAATCGCAATAATATCGTATTGTGACCGAAGTATCGGGATAATATCGTATCGTGGTGCCTCTGGTGATTCCCACCCCTTTCTCAGGTCATGTGTTTCCTGTTTTAGTCGTTTTATCATGCTTTTCTCTCTGCTGTCAGGGTGCATGTGGCTCTTGTTGGGCGTTCAGCTCTGTTGGGGCTCTTGAAGGTCAGCTGATGAAGACCACAGGGAAGCTGGTTGACCTCAGTCCTCAGAACCTGGTGGACTGTTCCTCCAAATATGGAAACATGGGCTGCAATGGTGGTTATATGGACCAGGCCTTCCAGTACGTCATTGATAATGGCGGAATAGACTCAGATTCATCTTACCCTTATGAAGCAGTGGTAAGTTGTTTGTGTGGGTCCAAGTGAAGAAAAAACAAGTGATAATTACAGAAGAAAGAATATGAAAAACCAATCCATATTAGAAGTGACAAGAACGGTTACTGCAAAATTTTAGCAATACATGTCAGGTCTCTACATCACTGGATTTGTCAGTGTTTGGTACATTATTTAAAAGCTGCAATCCATTATCATTATGAGTATAATCTAATAAATAAATGTGTCCTACAGCAAGGGCAGTGCAGATACAATCCATCCCAGCGTGCAGCAAACTGCACCAAGTACTATTCTGTCCATCAGGGAGATGAAGAGGCCTTGAAGGAGACTTTGGCCAGTGTCGGGCCTATTTCAGTGGCCATTGATGCCACCCACCCTAAGTTTATACTGTATCACAGTGGTGAGTATTTCTTTTCTACACATTTCAGTCATAGCGATTACCAGATTAGGTTTTTAAGTTGGAATTTGAAGGTCGAAATTATTTTTCTTTTTCTTGGAAACTATTATGATATTATCTCATATCTGTCCACAGGAGTTTACAATGATCCATCCTGCACCCAACATATAAACCACGCAGTGCTGGCTGTGGGATACGGTGCAATTGCAGGGCAGGACTATTGGCTGGTCAAAAACAGGTACAATCAGAATGATTGTGAAATTTTGTTGCCATAACCTGACTGGGTCTTTTTTGGAGGGGAGGGGGGGGGGGGGGGGGGGGTGGTGGAAATAGAGGAGTTTCAAAACAAAGTCTTGTAAAAGCGAAACATCTGTTTCGGACAAAACATATTCCCTCGGTTTCACAGACCAGGCTTAAGCTAGTCCCAGACTAAAATGCATGTTTGAGCTGTTTTAACTGAAAGCAACTTGCTCTGACATATCATGCCATATCAGGTCACAATGGCAAAAAGCATGCCATTGTTTTGTCTCAAGATGCACACCAGTCATGTTATTTTCTAAAGCATGTTTATAAAAGTCTACTTAAATGTCTTAATTAAACTAAGGCATAATCTAAGCCCTGTCTGTGAAACCAGGCCTTAGATGAATAAATGCAGATGCCGATTGTTTGCTTTTGCTTTAACAGTTGGGGTCCAGGATTTGGAGAAGGTGGCTACATCCGTATGGCCAGAAACCAGAACAACATGTGTGGCATCGCCTCATACGCCTGCTACCCGGTTATGTAAATGAAACCCTGTTGAAATATATGAATATATCAAAACAAGAAATGCACATTTTTATAATCTACTTTCTTAACAGTAAATGTGTTCTGTTTTTTTTTTGTATTTACATTTTCTTTAAAACAAAATCCCAAATGTATCTTATGAGTATCTTACAAAATAAATATTGAATTTTAAATGTTTCCTTTGGCTATTTCTGAAGCTTTAAAGGAAATATGCTTTCACTCTATTCAATATGTTTACAAATGACTTGGTTTTATTCAGTGCAACATCACAACGAACAGTTTCACATGAGGTATTAAAGGATTTCTCAAGATCAGCACACAATGTCCAGTTATGATTGACATTTAGATTGCTGTGATTTTTACACCTTTGGTTGATTAGCCACATTCATAAGGTAACACAAGGGAGAGAATGGCATAAAATGACACAGATGTTCACACCAGCAGAAAGAGATTTCAGATGAGTGATAGGTAAATGAAAATAGAAAACACTTGCTACCTTTTCAGTCTGCTTATCTGAACTGTCAATAAGTGGATCTCCAGATCTCCAAAAAAGAAAAGAAAAAAAAAAGCATTGAGAGTGAATTCTGTCAGCCTATGTTGTGATCCAATCAGGTTTGAACATAAAATGCATCATATTTGTAGAGACAAACATATTTAACATTTATTTTTGTCTATCTTCACTTTTACACGGTAACACTTTGGTTCTTTATTTTTTATTTTTGGAGGGATAAGCAATCATAAGATCAGCAAGATCCCCTTTCTTGCTCCGATTGTCATTCCCATTTGGTCTTTAAATTGATAAATGTTCTTCAATCGCTCTCTTTTTCTGTCTCTCTCTCACACACACACACACACACACACACGCTCAACACACAAACAAGGTTCTCTCTGCCTGCAGGTAGGGCTGTGATTTAGTTGTGTTCACGGATTGATTCCAGCACATTTGGCTATAAAAACTTAGTAACGCACAGACGCTCCCTGAATGGATGGGATCTTTGGTACAGTTACATCTCAGCTACACGACACATCATCACACACAGTTGAGGTAGATGAAATTAGAGCTGTCGGGTAGAACAAAAAGGGCCAAACGGGTTCCCCTCGGTGGGATAGCGGAATAGAACTATCACTTCAGATTTACACGTTGTAGTAACTCTTCCAAATATATCTGAAGAGGTTAAAAACTACGAGAATATGCCGCGATTTATGTGTGCCCCTCTTCATTGTCAATAAGTCTGTGTGAACAGAGTATGCACCAGGAGGCGCCAAACACTAACGTACGTCAACCATCATCTGCTAAACGTGATTTTCGGGACGCTACAGGTCATCGAGTGATCTCTAACCATCTACCGCTGTAATTTTGCAAATTATAATAACCTAAATCCTTACATCTCCACGAAAAGAGAGGCCCACCCAGTTAACTACTAGCGCTGCAACAGGGTGACCTGGAGAGTTGAGACGCACAAGCTGACACCCTTTGCCCTGCGCACAGCACGCTTACAATTGTCGCTCATTAAACTTTAATTCCCATCCCCAAACTCCCATTCACCACCCCTCCCCTTCCTCTGATCTGCCACCCCTCCTGGTGAACGCCCTAAGCCCATGGGCCTGGCTGAGCGCCGGCCCCAGCCACCGAGAGGACACAGATAAAAAGGGCCTCTTTGAAGTCGGCAAAAGTCGATGGCCTCTTTCATGGGCCCTCTTTCAAGTGCGTGCTGCGAAGGGGCCTCACTACATGCCCTGCAAAGGTTAAACACAGGGGAACGAGAAAGAGCATTGAAAAGGGGACGATCTCTCCCTCTACTGCCCACCCGAGAGACTTCAGCGCAGCATGAATGATCGTCGTACAGTAAATGTGGACTGCAGTGAGGAGATCACAGTTCAACACAGCCTAAATATAGAAGCATCTCGACTTCATAGCCACTTGTGTGCCGCTGTACGATCACGCTGAGTCTCGATCTGTTCAGTCAGGCTGTGGCCTAAAGGGTCTAAACATGCAGCATGAACATGGATGGGTACGCTAGTCTGTCTATCGAGATACTAACACAGCGGTCAGGAGACGAGAAACGTTGGACATTCAGGGAGGACAAATATTCATCTTTGGTATTGGGACTCCTATCAGAGACAGGGTCGTTTTTCACGTACAAACAACAAATAAATACTGAAGGTAACTAGCAAATAAATAAAATAAATAGCTAGAAGATTAGAAATAAATACATAAATAATTATAAATACACAAAGTGGTTCTCATTTCATATTCAATTCAAGCTTTTTGTAAGTATTTTTCATCAGGATCATTGAGATTTTGAGCTTTTTCCCGGTACAAAAAGCCATCGGCCAGATTGTGTGCTTGAAATTTGTACAAAATACAAACAAAAACCAGATTTCTCCATCTCCATATCTAAGAAATCATTTTTTGAAATCAGATTTTGCAAGAGAAGAGAGCGTTCTGGATTTTTTTTGCAGCCATTCTGTCAGCAGAAACTCACTAACAAGTTGAAAGTCTGTTGCAAAAAGTGTCACGGCTGCACTTTCCCCACCACCTTGTTTCGAGTTCTTCCTAAGTTGTCTGGCTGCGACACCATCCTGTGCATTTTGTAACGAAGGAGTATAAAAAGAAAACAAGCTCTTGAAAAATGTTCATATTTTGGTTTCAGCTTCTTTGCCCAGTAGTTTTTCCCTTTAAAGGAATCTCTGAAATATTCGCTTGCATCCTTCTTGGTTTCTTTGGTCATTAATTGTCCATTTGTTGCAAAATCATCTCTCACTCTCTCGAGAACCCTAAAAATATCATTTTGCCACTTTCCGCCTGTCGCGATCAACAAAGAAAAACCAGAAACGTTTGGACCTTGCACTGATTTTAGACGTTGTAACAAATTACAAAATAAACCGTTTCAATATCTATTCATAACCCTCAATATGTTGATTTGTGAATGATTTCATAAGCCCTAATGTGTTGGGCTCGTCCTTCACGATTAAAGCTAAAATAACCAACGCTAAAACTACAATCAATGCCTGTCTCATCTAGACATTGCGGACATCACCCTCTTAAAGACTTCATCTTTGGTTTCATATGCTGTTGATTTGTATTCAAAAACACCCTTGATTAAAAACTCTAGGAGCTACAGGTAAACCTGTGCTGTGCAGAGCGGAAAACGGCTCGTTTTCCCATCATGCCGTGGAGCAGGTCACAGCTGGAGATGCAGTGCTGGACCCCGACGAGCCGGTGGAGGATGGGCGGCCCTCTTCGGTCCAGCGGTTGACGTTTCTGCGGCGAGCGTTCATGAAGAAGTTGCTTACGGTGGAAAGCTCAAGGCCCAGCTGCTGAGAGATGGTGATCTGCAGGTCTTTGGTCGGTCGGTGGTTCTCTCTAAAAATGGCCAAGAGAGTGCGACGCTGCAGGTCTGTGAAGACTAGCCGGGTGCGTTTGGGCCCCTGGTTGCGCTCTAGCTTGGACTGCTCCTGCTCCTTGCGCTTACAAGCTGAAAAATAAGAGAGAAAAACATTAGTCTAAAAAGACCTGGAAATATAAATAGGCTAGGTCTTTTCAATTATTATTAGCTATTTATCTTTGTTATCTAATCTCTACACTTTCTTAATTGGAGAGAAAATAAAGAGCGCCTGTTTCAGTGTAGATTTTTTAACAAGTGGCTTTTGTCTTTAACAATAATATAAATAATTTCAAACTGGAAAAAAAAAGATGAGCAAGTAATGGCTGACAGTTTCAGCAAGTGCAAATATAGTCAAAGGATGAAAAAAAATCTCACATTTTGAAGATATCAACATTTAAAAATCTTAAACATTGCAACCAAATTGAGAGATGACGATTAAGTTCTAAAATAGGCAAACAAAATCAGGAAATTACAGTCAAAGGCTAAAAAAGGTCTCAAATCGTTAAAATAGAAAACATTGCATGTAAAATGAAACTCAAAAAAGATGCAAAAGATCAGTAAGAGCTAATGTTGTCAATACTCTGCATTTTTATGTTATATAATTATCATATACAGCTATTATTGTTATATAATACACGGCTTAATTAAATACCGCACTGGGTGTTGACCAGACTATTGCCTGAAAACCAGAGAGAGTCTCTATCAGACAACTGCCAACTTGATAGATAGATAAATGTACTTTATTGATCCCTGAGTGGAAATTCAGGATAAGGGAGATTAAGTGATATGAAGAAAGACTGTAAACGTGCTGAACAATAACCATCTATATCAAATAGATGGCAAACAATACAGAAGAAAGTCTGTTGTCCTCAAAATGCACATTTCAATGTTTCAATTCAGCATTTTACCCCTGTCTCCTATTCAAGCAACTCCCGATCCTCTCGATCGGCCCAACCTGCTTTCGGCAGTACAACGGCGACCATTAACTAAATGCTTCCTGATGTTGTAATCATGTGTAAAAGGTAGGAATTACCATGCTATAAATCCACCACACTCTGAGACATAAACCTCCCCCCATAGAGTTCTTATGATCGTGGGAGCAGGCCCTAATCATGATGTATACCACTTGTCTCATGTAGCTGAAACGTGATCGAAAGCCTTTTTCATAAACCACCCCCACCCCCCAATTGCCTATCACCCCTCTCTCCCCCCGAAGCCGTACTCCCTGCCTACTCCACCCCCTGCTGATTTTTTTTCGGCCACAGGCTGATAGAAATTATTGATTAAATCTGTGCTGCTCAGACTCCCCGACCTATAGAGGAGCTTTAACCCCTTTAGTGCTGGATGAAAGGGGAGCTTCTGCGTGCCAAACAACATTTGTTGTCAATCTCAGCAGGGCGGCAGAGATCTAAACGTAACTATGCAATTTTAAATAAAAATAGTTTGGGGCTAAAGATGTAAAAGTAACAGCATCAGTGAAAGAGCCTCTGCTATTTAAGCCGATTATATCTCAGTGATTCCTTAAGACAAGAGCTTTAGGCTTCAGTGCTTGTGTTTGAAATCCCAATGCTGTCCGAACACCGAGCTTTAGAGTAATGATCTCTACCCTGCCCTGCGACTGAATTTCTCTCTGTTCGTCTCTCTCCCAATCAAAGCTCAGCCAGTTTGCGAAAACACACAGGCACAACAAACAGAACACATCCACACAAAAGACCTGAGGAAAAACTGAGTGAGAGAAAGAAAAAATAGATTTGTGATATCTAGAAAAACCAGGATATGAATTGCAGGTCAATAAATCTTGCTTATGAAATATTGAAAGATGCATTTATTGTACAACAAATGCAGTGTGATCTCAGGCCCTGTTTGCAATATGCATGAAAGCTTGTAAAAAATAAAATAAAATAAAAATCATAGTTTTAGCCTCCCAATAACAAGTATCTTAAAAGTGCTGATGGATTTTAAAAGGATGGGTTTTTGTTGTGTAAATGCTGGTTAAAAATCACTGCATTAAGCTGAATCATCATTAAATGTGTCGGTAAGTTGAACTCCTGCTGCCTCTGAGAGAGGAGGCGTGTAGCCGCATGCATTCTAATGTTTGCTCATGCCGTCTTATTCACAGGAGGTGTGTGCAGGAGCCTTCTGCGTTGCTTTCCCAAGGAAATCAATACCAGCTAGTAATTAAACAAAGGGCATGGTGAGAAAAGTCAACACTCATGGAAAGTGGGTTATATAGGGAAATACAGAGGTGTCCACTTATGCTATGCTTTTGTGCACAGAAGCTGTGAAAAAAAGCCTCAAGAAAAAAATCCATCCAATAGTAATTGGCCAACAGAAAATTCAGAGTCAATATCAATTCAAATTTAGGAAAAATAATCCTCAAGCCAAGCCTGAATTATGCATGAAAATAAAACAAAAAACTCAACTCAAAAAGAAAAGAAAACAAAAAAACAACGTTTACATTCATCATCCTGTATGAACATTTATTGCCAATCACGAAGATTTCCACAATGGCATGTTTAGCGACTACCACAAAAAAACAACAACAGCAGGACATGGTACCACTCAGGCCAACAGGGCATTGATTGATTCCATGTATTTCGTTGCATGGAACACCCCTACGACTGAGGACACAGTGGTCACCAATCAATATCTGTAGTGGTAATGCAAGCAGAATAATTCATTCTGAAGCGTATTTCATGCTTAGGTGATTGATCGCTTGGGATTCGGAAAGATTTCGGGAGAATCTGCGTGTCTGTGTTTGTCTCCCACCCCACAATCCTCAGTGGCTGCTGCAGCACGCCAGCCGACATTTTGAAAACCGCCCCATCCCTGCATCGCCAAACGCACCGCCTCCCCCCCCCCCCCCCCCCCCCCCCCCCCACCCCACCATCGTCCATTCTCATGTTACTGTTTTTCTCTAGATCTCTTTGTGTGCTTTGGACAACAGTTAAAGTTTCAGCCTCTTCAATGTCAAAACATTGTAACACGGCAAGATGCACTGGGTTTGAGGTGAAATCTCTCAATAATATCTCTCAAAAATGTTTATTTAGCCTTATTGCAACAAATTGATATGTTCATTTTAACTGTAATTTGATCAAATGTTGGTCAAAAATACTGTTGTATCTGTGGTACTTTTCATGTATTGTGACTGAATAACTGTAATGGAAAATTTTACTTTATTTGTGGTTGATCATATATGTACCAATTGTCATTGTCTTAAACAATACTCGCCCATTTCGACTTGTTAATTTTGGGCATTTGTTCTGTTTCACAACAACAATACATTTAAACTACAATTCAACTGAACAAGCTCTTTTACCTTCCAGACGTAAGGAGGCCATCCTCTGAAACTCTGGCTCCTGTAGCCAGCGGGACATCCTCTTGAAGGTTTCGCGGCCAGACTTGAGTTTCCCCCAAGGTTTGGGGTTCCTGAGCAGGTCTGACAGAGTGCCCTGAGACCTGCACAGAACCCGCTCTGCAAAAATGGCCTGTGGGATGCTGTACCTCTTCAGTTCAGTGATGATTCTCTGAGCCACGTCTTTAGTGTTGATCTCCTCGCCTCCGCCGCCATTCTGTGAGCCAGCCAGCATGCCCTCTCTTCCCAGGCTGGAGCCGGAGGAGGAAGGGGAAGAAGAAGGGAGCTCCCCAAGCTTGGAGGCCTGTTGGCTGGAGAGGTGGTGCTGATAACTCTGGTTGTATAAATGGGGGTGGTAGGTGGGAGTGTGCTGATGGGCATCCATTTTGTTTAGCTGGTGGCTGACCCCATGCTCGCCCCCCAAAGAGGGTGGTGACATCTCCCTCACAAAGTCTGCCGCTGTTCGACAGATGTTCCCCCCGTTGCTGCCCATATGGACCTCATGGCCACCAGGAAGCATCTGGCTACTGTGTCCGTTCTGACTTCCCAGGCTACCATAGCCATGCATGGCGGTCTCCAGGCCTGCACTGCCCAGAGGTGGAGACAGACCTTGTCCCAAACCAAAGTCTTTTCCATACGACGTGTAGTAGTTTCCTCCTAGACCTCGATCTTCTCGCATGAGAGTGAAGCTGCCGATGACGTTGCTGACGGGCAGGCAGGGATGGTGGTGGTGATGATGGTGGAATTTGTCATCAAAGGGTTGTAGGGGTGTTAATGTGGTGTAGGTGCTACCACAACTGGTTGGTGCATCCCTACCATACCCCAGAGTTGCCATGCTGTGGTCGTACGCGGAGCTCTGGTGGTCGGACTCCAGGCCCATGGCGGGGCCTCCCAGAGAGGGACGAGGGAAAGCAGCCGCGAGATCGCGAGAGTGCAGCATGGCTCGGCTGTCCTGACTGTGCGCCAGCTCTACGTGGCTGTGCACGGACATCTCACCCATATTACCATCCATGTCGTTACCTTCCTCACTCCGCTTCTTCCTTAAATTCCAGCTGATGTGTTTTTCTAACAGTCTAATGTGTGGTTACTGTAATATAATATAAAAACAGTTCCTGATGCTGTTTATATCTCAAAATCTGATTTCAGTGTACTCTCAGAGACATTTCATCACAGTGGCACCATCTTGGGTCATGCAAGCAAATTCTGTGTTCCATAAATGCATCTGTATTTATCCATGTGAGTCTTGCTTTTGCCTTGGCGACCAATGCTGAAAAAGAGACAGGACCATGATCACTGATTTGTTATTGATAAATTTATTCAGCTGTATTGATTCGTCACAAATATTAAAATAGCTACTTGAACCTAATGATTAATTCCGTTATTAAGTAATAACTTTTTTGTCTATTAATAGCAAACTTATTTATTATAGCTTATCTATTTAATACAATTATTTCAGTTCCAAACTAACTTCAACAATCATATCGACGTTTAAAAAAAGGAGGAAAAGAATTAAGTTAGAATTGCTTACCTCACAACGCAGCTTATCCGACTAGATGGAGAGAAGCGAATCAGCCTCTCCAAAACGCAACCAAAAGCCGATAATGGGATGGGATATTCTATAGGCTACACCTGCAGAAATTCCGAATTTACAATCACACAGCAATTGGTTTTGTGTAACAGCGACTTTTGTTTGTCATCAGCATATTTCAGTGTTAAAAAAAGAAGAAGAAGAAGAAGAAGAAGCAAAGGCTCGGTCCTGGTCCGTCACCGCCGTTATCCGCTAGATTCTCGCTGGACCACAACTGTCGAGGATGCAACACAAATGATGCGTAAGGCCGTGTATGATTTCGTCCGATGTCCGGACTTCGCTATGCAGCAATCGTGTCAAAAATAAGCGCCGATCTATGTCTAAGCACCGCGCTCAGTCGCTGTCATTATCTCTGTGGTTTTGCCCTTCTGTATCCTCATCGATCTCGGCCCCAACTCTTTCTCTCCTCTCTCTCTTCCCCCAGCCCCCCTCCTCTGTACGTCACACTCTTAAAATCTGACAGATGTGGGGTGAATTTACAACCCTCGTTAACTCCTTCCCTCCTGCGGACCTCAAGAAGCCATTGTCTTAGCTCGTGACAGTGTTCGACAGTGTTATACAGTTTCAGAGTTAGTTGACTTAAAAAAAGATTTCAATAAGAACATTTTAGGGCGCAATCTGCTGAGTTTCTCGAGTAACCCAAAAGACCCAAAGTCTTTTGTCATAGCCTACATTTATGTATTTAATAAACTGATGGATATCTATGTTTTCTAGTGTTAGGTCAATTTTCTACTGTTGCTATGGTTACCCCTAAAATAAACGCGATTTTACATTTGCGATTGAAAATAGGTGCAACAATATTTTGAAGCCAAATATTAAATTTGATATAATATTTAGTATTTCGTTCTAGGCTACTGTTAACATTAACTGTTTACCTTCAAGCATTTATCTGTTATAGATAGCCTAATAGGCCTACATTTAGAATTTTTTTAATAAACAGGAAAATATGCTACATCGAACACAGTTTAATCCAATTAAAAGGCCAAAACGTTTATGTACTATTAACTACATTTTTATTTTCCCAAGCAGAAGGCAATTAACTGAAGCAACAAAGCGCATGAACTGAGAGCGGTCCTTATCAGCTGTCAGCTTAGAGTGTAGTGGACAATTAAAATAAGAGTTTGCTCCTCAATCACAGAAGTGCTAAACAAGATCAATGCACTTGATCTATCCAATGCGCACCTATGACCCTCTTTCTGAGAGTACACGCGACCTTTCCTAAAACACGCGACCTAATACACAACAAAATTACACTTCTGTCATATTTCCATTAAAAAAAGGAATTTAATACGCTGTGAGTTTGTGTGTCAGGCAGAGAGAGAGATGGGAGTTGATGCGAGTAGGTGTTTGAAACTTGGAATATTAATCATATCTGTCTGTCAGTTTAATTTTTAGAGATGAGCAATTCTAGCGCTTGAAAAATTTTCCAGTGCGATGTGGGACCGCTGTCTTCCCGCAGCAGATGCTGCACTATCGATCCGCGCCGAGCAGGGCTGAGGGAGGGAGGGAGGGAGGGGTGTGCGTGTGTGTGTGTGTGCGTGCGTGTGGAGACTGTGTGGCTGGAGGTAAAAATGGTCAGCTCTTACCGCAAAAAAGGTCTGTTTGAGGGTCGAGGTGAAAGTTCACTCACTGCGGCTGGAGAGCTTGATTGAAGATAGAACACTCGAATGAAAACAACCTGATCCAGAGTGCACTGATAACCCTTTACACCCTTCATAATTTGTAATTTTGATAATAGTAACATACAAATTTCCCTTAAACCTTTTAATAATGTTGTTGTGCATTTTAGGGCATCTAGAAAAAGCAGCATAGCGTTAGGGTTAAATTGGAAAATTCAATTGTGTCCGTACACTCGCGATAGAAATATTATTAAAAATAATAACAATAGGCTAGGCTAAACAATAGTCAATGATCATCAGTATCCTCATCATTGTGTTACACTGACATTTCCTCTATTCGTTTTTTTTTACCCCGTGGCATCAAGAAGGTTTAGGCTAGGCTATTATTAATATTATTTTAATATAATTTCATGTCGCCTTGCACTCTTAAGATTTTGCATGAATTAGAAAGAGCTTATCTGCAGAGCAACATGTAAGGCATTGCAGATTATTATTCACCTATTCTTTCCCTTTCTCTGTCTGGGACGTGTATCAATGATCAAACATTGTTCAAAACAAACCGTGGAAATCAAAACAGCGGCCAGCGAGTTAGTAAATTATTTATACCTGTCTATTGAGTTCTTTGAGCCTTTGGTCGAGCCACGTCCTCCTCCCGAGTGGTGTATCAAGAGGCCTGCAGGTTAACACGTACATGAGGCTAAACGTACAGAGCTAAGTAGACAGATACTAACAGTGTGTGTTCTTAGAAAGTTATTGCAGAGTTTAACCCCTTCACATCATAATGTTAGGCCTACTATCTCTCGTCTTTCAGACGCCGTAGACGGTGTTAATTAGCTCATATCACTCAGTAGCTATAACATCAGTTAAAATTTTATTTTATATATTATTTTATGTAGCTAGTGGCCTAAATGCGTAAAACTGAATAGCCTACATCAAATGATGAACATGCGACAGAACCACAATTGTTGCAGAAAAAATAAACACACACACGCACACACGTAGCTATGTAAAAATATTTGTATTGTTTCTACGGAATAATTTTACAATTCAATGCAACACACTTAATGTAATCTGCATAACGAGGTTGCCTTTAGGCAGATCCGTTTGCATGCTTGGGATTTTCGGCCTCCTGATAACTCTCATGGAGATAAATGCTATTGATCACATTCGCAAACTGTCTTGTTTGTGTCGTTCTTGAAACCTTTGTGTCAGAATATTAGATTTTTTTGTTCATTTATTTTGTGAAAAAACATACACTATCTGTTGAAACACTATGGCTTCATATAACATAATACATATTTATATAAACATTTAATAGACAATTGGAGATCAGTGTTTATAGCCTGATTGCAGATATCATGGAAAAATGATTTAAATAACATTGTTTTAAAAAAACATTCTTTACAGGAGTATAATTAGCTAAATATAGCTTTTCATCTCCGTCCAAGTTTTTCTGTTTGTCCTCGGATTGTAGCGCTAAGGCACTATAATATAAAGCCTGAATAAATATTACACTTAATCAAAGCCCTTTTTAAAAACCATAAGCAATCTAACAAATAAAAAACAACTAACACAAATCTTCTAATGCACTGTGATGAATGCGTCGTGCAAAACAATTCATGAAATTGTGCAACAAGCATAAAAAAATAAAACAAATATTTTACTACTGTTAACCTATGTCGCTTATTCTTATAACCAATTTCATTGAGAAGTGTTTAGGCCACTAACTGAGCAACATTATTTACATTTCAGCAATATTTGTTATCATATGTTTTTATCTCCTGTTTTAGTGTTTTAGCTATATCAATATTAATATTTTGGCTTCAGAAGCACAGGCCAATCGTACAAGAATAAATGAAATAAAACGATCATACAACCTAAAACGTGCATTCAGATGCGAGGGGGTAAAGAAATTAATTTCGTCCAAAAATAATAGGACGCATGGTGAATAATAAAAAGAACTCGATCGATAAAAAAAGTCAATAACTCAATTAACATGCTCAACCTCACGGAGAGCAGGCCTTGTGAAACTGAAAAAGAAAATCATTTGAAAAATAAAACTTTGTGCGCCTGACTGTAATGGTAGCCTACACTGTAACTTTAGAATTACAAACTTCTAACCGAGGATTATAAAAAAAAATAAAAAATAAACATTTAAAAAATGTGAAATTATATATCTATAAATATTTGAAATTATATATTTATTTATTTATTTAGTATTTTATTTTCTGGAAGATATGATTAGCAAACTGCATCAGAAAAAAAAGTACAGGAATTTATTAATTATTCTGGGTGTTCAAGAACCTTAGCGTATATGGCTACACTTAACTTTCTTTGCTTGAATTTGCGTTTTAAAGTTTAAACTTAATTTGAAGAGTAAATCTTTATTTTTAACTGTAAAACAAATAAGCAAATGTAAAGTAGCTACATCTTACATTAAAAATGATCTTACATCTAAGAGCATATTCATACAATACCGGTGTTTATGTCCACTGAATGCATTATTTTGTTTAGGAAAATCTGATTATGTTCATATGTCATACATATGCTTTTGCAAATCAATAATGAAATTAAATTCTTCACTAGAATTCACAATTATATAAAGAATGCAATATATTATAGGCCAACCTAGGCCTACACACATGTAGTTAGCCTATTTTATTTATGTAAAGGTATTATTATAAAGGTTCAATATAAAGAGAACCGTTTTCAGACAAACCCTGAGAGAGATTTATAATTCTCACAAATATGGAGACAAGACTGTATTAGGGGACTCTGCTGAATTATTATTAAGGTCATGCTCATATTCAGCTTTCAGTAACGTTTCACTAGTCACATTCACAAACTCAGCCACAGTGTTAAAGGATAATCTTTTCTATGATTTTACGATTTAACCTCTGAGCCATAGCAAGTGTTCAGCCGCATTCAAATGGGCGCGCGCCCGTGTATTTGGTTCTGTTTATCGATTGGTAAACGTGGGCGTGCTGCCAACATGCAGGATGGCAATCTATTATTACCATTGTGAATTATTAGCAATCGTAGTATAACAACTGGCCATATATAATACAGCACGTTTAATATAAATTGTTAAAAGATTTGAATTTTTTTTACATACTACTGCAAAGCGTTTAAATTCAAGTGAACCTATTAAATTATACGCATTAAACAAAGTAGCCTATAGCATTTTAGCCCTTAGTTTAGATTTTGACGCAACACGATGATGCAATCCAGATTAATCAGAGTGGAATAAAAAACATTTGAATCATTTTTAAATAATCTAACAACATTTAAATTGAGTTTTATTTTATATAATTATAATAATAAAAATAGCGTTAGATTTTAGTTATTCAAATAATTTAAGATGCAAGGCCTTCACCAAATCAAAGGTAGCAGCATTAAATAAAGAAGCAGCCATTTCCAATCTAAAGCAATGCTTGAACAATTCCTGCCTCTGCCTCACAACACTGAACATACAAGCACTTTAACATGATTCTGCTACATTTCCATTGCACTTTCATTCCAATTAAAGCACAAAATAACAACAGCAACAGCAGAGTACTTCAAACAAACACCCACATGCATTGCACAATATAAATACACATCTATGCAAACACAATGATCTGCTTTTTTGTCCATGCAGAACAGCCACACATTCTCAGATTTTGAGTGAAGGTCTCACAGCATTGTTTGTGTGTTTATAAGATGTGTTCTGCACAAGGGTATATCCAGTCTAATAGATGCTCGGTGGGTGGGTGGAGGGTCTCTGAAATTGCCTTGCAATCGGTTAGCATCCTTTTCCCTGCCCCTCTGTCTTCCATTTTTTTTCCTCTTCCCCTCTTTCTGTTTCTCCGTTCCTCTCTGCAGATGCT